CTTTTTTTTTTTTTTTAAGTAATCTCTTCCCCCAACTTGAGGCTTGAACTCACGATCCTGAGATCAAGAGCCGCGTGCTCCACTGACTGAGCCAGCCAGGCGCCCCAGTTTCATGGGTTTTAAGTGCTTTTGATTAAGCTTAAGTGAGGATTTCCTTGCAACGAGTAGAATTTCCCTTCTGTCCCTTGCCACAAGTTTAAAAACCCCACAGCTTGTATAATGTAACCATTTGGGGTCTGCTTTTAACTTGTAGTCGTGCAATTCCTTCATGCAATAAAATGAAAAGAGAAAAAGAAGAGTCGATTGGAGCTTGTGTGTTAATGCACGCCATGCATCGTCTTGTGAATAAGGCAAGAAAGGAGGGGACACCCTTCTCTGTGTGTATGTAACAAAACGCCTCCAGGACCACACAGTGAGCTCTGGGGGACAGCAAGGTGAACATCACGCTGCTGCTGGAAGGCTGGCCATGAGTGACCAGCCACGTGAATGAAATCACGTCGCCATCCGGGAGGAGACGGGTGCTGCGGGGGCTGGGGGCAGGGCAGAGGCGGAGCAAGGAGCTCCAGGGGATTTGGTACCTCTGAGGAACCGGCACTGGAGCAAAGAGGCACAGGATGAGCAAGCCCCTTCACCTCCGCCTGTGTGCGCACCAGAGGGCGTGGAGTGTCGCTAGGCTGTCCCTGCGGTTACCATGCACGGGACTTCTGTCTCTTCCCTCGCTCCCCTTGGTGTGCTTTGACCTGTTCCCAGTCAACATTTTCTTAGACACATAAAACAAACCAAGGTAAAGAGGCAAATGGGCAGGACTGCCCAGACAGCAGGTGTTCCTTAAGCCTGGAATTCCTGCCCCCTGTGCCCCTTGAAGCCCCTTCCTCCCATTTTAGAAATAATCTGCAGTTGCCTTTTCCACCTCCCCACCCCCAAAAGCCTGATGGGCTCAAGTTTCTGTTTCTGGAAACCTGAAGGCAGACTTGGCTTTCAGACATGGGGTGAGGGGCACTCAGGGCTTCCTCTTTGTCTTCAGCCTCTGCAGCTTCTCAACCCGTCCCCCAAGCCACCCTCAGGCCACCAAGGGCCTGACCTGCTGGGTGGGAGGAGGGAAGGGTCCTATCCCCTCTCCCCCCAAAAGCAAGGTCCAAGCTGGAGAGGTGAGGTCCAGAGGTTTGGGGTTGCCTTGCTCAAGGTCAGGCCCTGTGATACTGCTGCTTGAGGCTCCAGAAATCCTCAGCCTCTGAGAGGGGTGTTTTAACCTTTCGCAGATAAGCAAAGGCAGATCAGAAGATGGGTGACAGAAGAGACAGGTCAGAGGTCCAGCAACCCCTCACTGGTCCTGGAGTGCCTGGCCCTGAGCTAACTTAACCTGGGACCTATCTTGGGGACCACCCCCCACCCCAGGGCTGGCCAAGCCCAGGCTGCACTAGATTGACAGCATGGGTGGTCAACAGCTGTGATGGGGGAAAGGCAGGGGGCCTTCAAGGCCTTTAGACCCAAATGTCAGGGGATGGCTCCCTACCAGGGGCTGCTTGGGAGCCTGTGTGGTCCCAGAGCAGAGGAGCAAGGGGTGGGGAGGCCTGGACGGTGCCAGTCTCCACCTCACCAAGAATAACATTGCCCCAGTGACCTGGCTCTTGTCTCTGGACCCTCCATTTCCCCCAGGGCCCAAGGAGCCGGTTTGGCAGCGTCTGGGCAAGAAGCTGGGTGACATCACCCAACGAGTCTATGGTCCAGGTTCCTCAGAAATCACACCTGGTTGCACATTAACCAGCCAGCCCTAGAGGGGGAGGGGAGCTTCAATGGAGTCCCCAGCTTTTCATCCACAAACTCAGCCTGCCCAGTGGGGTGCAGCGCCAGGCATGCAGGGGGGGTAGGCCAAGTGGGAGAGACAGGCAAGGAGCCAGAGGTCATTCTCAGAGCCTGTGCTTAAAAGACAGGATGGGCATTGCTTGCTCCTGGTGCCCCGTCCCTGAGCCCTGAAGAACCCAAAGGGGAAGTTGGTTGCAGTCAGGAGAGGGGTAGGGGCTGCTTTGGGGTCACTGAACACCATGGGGTAAGAGCCTGGGCTACTCAGAGAAAGGGGGATGTCAGGGCACCTGGTCCAGGTGCAGCCTTCTCCTCCCC